GCCGGTTTCGGGGCCACAGGTTTCGGTGCTGCAGGCTTTGCGCTGGCTGTGGATGGGAGAGGGGACGGTGTGGACGCATCGGGAGATGGCACTTGTGGCTTGGGCTTGGCGGGTGCTAAAGACTTCGCCTTGGGAGGGGCTGGGGGCTTTGGATTGGCTTTTGCAGCAGCCGGCTGCATGCTAGCACGTTTCTACGTGCATTTGCATGTCTGTGAAGAAGCTGCTTCAAATGGCCCATGGCACGCCAACTAACAGTCTGCACAGACTGGCTGCCGATACACTATAGGGCATGTTGAATCTCTCAGCTGTACGATTTAGGTCCAGCGGCAAGAAGGAACGGTAGTGACATGGGCTGTGGTGCAGATGTGTGTGTGCAACTGAGTCTGATATCTTCCCTGCGTTTGAATCACGCGGCTGCGCATGTTGACCATGCAACTCAAACACAATCCTAGAGCAAACGTAAACAGTCGGCTCTATCAAGATCCTGTGAGCGTCGTCGGATTCGTGTTGAAAGTGTGGGTACAATAGAAAGTACAATGACTGCCACTTGAATCTCCCCTTGGGCCCGGGACGGTCCGATACGTAACAGGCAAGGTCAGAGAGGCGATTCCCTGCAAAGTCTTGGGCTTCCACCCATGCGCGTACGGCGGGTGCGGCATCTTTGGTTTCGGGCTTTGAGTTTTATTGAATGGGTGAGTGGTGTGTTGCTCTGCTCCTGTGTCCATGATACTGTGTCGTCCTGCACGCCAGGATGGTCTTGTGCCAGTTTTGAGTCCTTCGCTCAATCAGGGCCTTTGTCTCCTTAACGAAACATCTAGAGAATCGTACATTCCTCTGAGGGCACCTGCCTTAATCTTACCAAGCAGCCCTCGCCATCCATGTTCCATGCGAGCCAAGAAACCAGCAAAGCAACTTCCAATGGCGGATAGAAGTGCCACGTCCTGAGGTCCCCAGCCAGACTCAGCCACGAATATTGGAGGATTCTGAGGCCGACGGGCATACGACAAACGCTTCTACATGGAAGTGGTGGTTCAGGAGTGTGGAGTTGCCCCAAGCTTCGATGAACCCGATCGCTACCATACCCGCCGAAACCGAGTCCATGTGTTTTCCGATCTTGGCGAGGTCGCCATCATGAATTGCCAACACCAAAATGTGCTCAACTTCCTGCTAGCCTGCAAGTACATCTAACACCACGAGCAAGCCCCGTCGTAGTTGGGAAAGGCTATTTGCACACACACATATATATATATATATATTATCTGGACCTCTCCCTGTATCATAATATGTCTATACGCATATCTCTTTGTGTGTGTGTCTGTGTATACATGCATATGTATACATGCACATATACAGAGAGAGAGAGAGAGAGAGAGGCGAGAGGCGAGAGAAGTGAAGATCCAGCTGGAACGGGAATGTGTCTTGCAAGACCTGAGCGGAAGGCTTTTGGCGCGTTAGGGAGCGCGGTGAGATCGTGGGCTCTGCCCATGCTACCACGCTCGATTGGATGCTGCAGCGAGAAGTCGGATTTGGCCGCTGCCTAAGATGTCAATTTTCTATGTACGGATGTACATGAATCTCATAAACTCAATGGAAATTCTCAGTAACCTGTGAATTATAAGTTCTCGCACTGAGACCCAGTCTAGGCAGCGCCTCCTTAGGAGGAAAGTTCCTCGCCAGAGCATCTTGAAAACCGGTGCACCACCTGCTACCCTGAGGCAGACTGGCCGCATCTTGTGACAGCCGAGGTGCTACGGGTGGAATAAACTGCAAACAAAACTGCTGGGAGAAGGTGAGCAATGGCCGGGAGCAATCATTTCCGAGCCGACAGCATTCATGACGTGAGAGATTTGAAACGCTGTGAGTGCTGTCTGAATCTCTGGCTCAGGCCACGCCAAGAGCTTCTCCCAACCTCAAAGCCGCCTCCAACACCCCATGCATGTCATCGGAAACCGGGCCCTGATCAACCTTCAAATCCTGGTGCAGGTCAGAATCTGACGGCAACATATCCTAGAATTCTGCGTGCTAGGCCTTGCAAGTCTCAGGCATCTTCAGCTTACAAGCCCCAAGTCATGTGTCACTGGATGAAAAGCTTCGGGGATTCCTTTCAAAGGCAGAGGTTGAAGAGCTGAAGGCGGACAGGGCAAGAATCAAAAACCGGAAACATGGTAATAAACTCTGCGGGCATGGCACCTGAAGACGACGGCTGCAGCACCCACTCTCACGCCAGATGGATGATATTCTTTATCGGCTAGTTATGTGAGGATTCTTCACACCTACTTCACTCACGGAGTCACACCTTTGATCTGGCTGCCTGAGGGCCAAATTACCAAATTTATTTCAGCTCTGCAGAGTAAATGACAGAGTCGTTTACACTCAACATCCAACACAACATGACCAAATTGTTATGGGACACCTTCTGCTGCTGTTTCTTCACATGTTGGCAACGCTGTTCACCCCTACTTGGCATGTGCGCGCAAAGACATACGTAGGTGTATGTATATACATGTGTATATATATATATATAAATGTATACGGATATATGTATATATAGTATGTATGTTAGGACCGCTGCGTTTATTTAAGGTTCTCACTACTTACACCATCTCGAAGCCGTGCCCCTAATTCATTTCATCATGATTAGTACTGGAAGAAATGTTCGATCCCGTTCGTATCGTGAGTAGCAGATCTTTCAAATTTGCAACCATATCTGCTTATGAATATCCAGTCACCATCTGTCATTCGGGAAGCCAATGAGTTTCTCAGCTGCTGTCGCTGTCGCTGCTTGAACTAGACGAGCTGTAATATTACTAGAGTACAACAGTAGTGGAAGCAGTGTATTAGTATTAGCAGTAGCAATGATGATATTACTAATCAACAGAAACAGTTGTAGCAATAGAAATATTAACATAATATTGATAGTCCTAGTCCTGGTCCTCGTCCTAGTTGTAGCAGTCGTAGTAGTAGTATAGTAGTAGTAGTAGTAGTAGTAGTAGTAGTAGTAGTGGTAGTGGTGGTAGTGGTAGTGGTACGTCGTGGTAGTGGTGGTGGTAGCAGTAGTATAGTGATGAATGGGCCCTGGGCATATATGGCCGACTCCGTCAATGTTTTGGATCTCGTTTCCTATCTCGTTTCGATCCGATTATATCACACACAAAACGCCGTGACTGTACATCGTGCCGTGGGAAAGACTTGCCGATGCCGAACTACAAGCACTCCCTCCCAATGAAGTGCCTAGGACAGAAAAGATGAAAGATGCGTCTATGACAAGACACCTGACCGAAGCCACTCCAAACACCTATGTCAAAACACAAGAGTACCAGCAGTCCCGCTGAAAGCAGCGTAAAGGACACAATCATGCCGCACAAACGTCGCTTTCCAGTTTCGACTTCAGATAGGACTGTATCGCGTCATAAATATACTTGATCTCGTTTTGTGCGGTGCCCCTATCTCGCTCCCATAGTTGAGCGAGTTCCGACAAAAAACTTACTGCAAAGGGGTATCTCGTTTTAGACCACTGTAGCATAAAACAAACAAAAGCCGTCGCTTACATATTATGTGTATGCATGTGTACACATGTGTGTATGTACGCATGTACGCACGCACGTGCGTATGCACGCATGTATACATGCGTGTATATATAATATGTCGTAGAACTACGAACGCGCACCTGCATGCTTCGAACAACCTCGTTGATTAAAATATTATAAGGATGGCAGCGGAACTTGCTGAAACGATAACGAATAGTGCTGATCGACCCGAACTTAGCCTTCATAGTCATTTGGTGTCGAGGGAAGTGCCTCAAAAAGCCAGCACATGGGTCGCGGATGACCAGGACTAGAGCTATGGGGCAAAAAGGGTGGTTGCTTTGTGCTGCAGCCTTGCGGCCTGCCTTTGTGCAGGCATAGCTAGGGGTGCCTGAGCATCCCTATCTGAGGATGGGTTCCCCAATCCATAGAATCGTGCAACATGCCTCTGCTCGCCTTGCATGTGGAATACCTGAACAACGACCAACGTCAGGACGCCTAAGGCGTCGCAGGATCCTTGAGCGCAAAGGGCCTGCACTAATGGCAGCACCCCGACGAAAACGATCTCCAAAAAAATCTCGTACGCAGGAGACAGCAGCACAGCCTGCGAGGTACACTGCCGTCCCCAGATGCGTCCACTACATGGAAAGTTGCCCTGCCAAACCGAATTATAGTGCCGGAAGTGAGGCGGGAATACCACATCGCCATATCGCACTTGCAGCTGCTCGTCTGAGGCATAGATAAAAGAAAAAAGCCCGGCAGTTGCTCGGATCATGCCCGTGCAGCTCGAAGCTCGAACTCGACCACTATCTGTGTCTGTGACTTTGAAAGACTGAAAGGCCGCATACTGACTTCGTCTATATACGCTTACCACTATACTACTAGATATGCCTGTACCGCTCACGGACACTGTAAGACACGAAGCAAGAATGGGCAGCCACAAGTCACGACACTGCGAGGGTCCATTCTTCGCAGCGCAGCGGGTCTCTTGACAAACAAGAACTTGACAGATCTATGACTGACACACCGTCTCTTCATCGTGCAACTTGAGGACTTCGACCTCTCTACCGGCTGGAATTCGAGAAAAGTGCCACTGTAGCTCGTCGAATCGGGCTTAAGGGTTTGGAGTTTAGAGTTGTCGGTTCAGGGTTCAGGGGTTTAGCATGATTAGCATGTAAGGTGTAGGATTTAGGCGGGTGATGTGGAGCCAAGAATAAGCAAGTAGCTATACAATAATTTCTAAGCAAAGTATCTAAGCGCACCACTCAACGGTGGTGGGGGCCGGTGGGGGTTGGGGTTTGGAGTGAGAATGGTAGGTTTTGCAAACGCACCTCTTGAACCCACAAGCCTCAGAATGATAATGTTCATGAAACTTGCCAACACAACGTCCAAAAGTCTGAGAAGGGTTTAGCGCGCTTAATGTAGGGCTAAGTTTCAGTGTAGAGACGACCCCCTGGAAGTCGTTCGACGAAGGTTCGGGGTGGGCAAACAGTTCGACGATTCTTGTCGTGGTGCTGCTGGCTATTCTGCTAGTCCCCATCTGTTTTGGCCCGGCGATGCACAGACTAGCATACCGTGCAGCTTCAGCCTATATGTCACATGCAAACGACGAGGCTTCGACATGGGCTGCACATCGGATTCACATACTGACACTTAACACTCGATCTCATTCGCGCTGCGCTTTCAAATGCAATGGACGGAGCAGGACCGGAAGCAGTCATGTCACAAGTCAGACCTGCCGGGGCCAGCGGCGAAGCCGCGTCATGCACATGAGTTCGAAGGAAGAAGCCACTGGACACCTCAACCGGCCTTTTCCATAGCCTCCACCTGACACCAGCTTCGACCCAGCCTCAGGGAGCTGCCGGGCCGGATCGCGCAGAGTGCGGTGAAGTCTCGCGGCTCTCCTGACCGGAAGGGCGCTCAACTCGTGCGATGATGTGACACTATAGAAACTGAACAACTTTTTGCGTAGCATACGTAGGGTTTTTCGGAGGCGGGAGTTCGGCAGCTTCCTTGCTGCTGCATGTGTGGGTCTTCAGCTTTTGCTAGCTCTCACTTCGAAGTGTCTAGCAAGAAAGTGAACGCCGGAAGTTAAAAGAGCTTTGTACTCTTTCCGTAGTGCCGCTCGCGTTTTGCGGGTTTCGTCCGTGTTCAAACGGGTCGCCACTTTCGGGCATTTTCGGACCTCGCGCTATCTCGCACAGGCGCCGTGCATACCTTTGGAATGCGGTTTTTTCTCGCACCACAGTGCAGCTCGCGCCGTGAACTTGGCTCTTGGAGTCGCGTCTGGAGTTGAAGACGATCAGATAGAGTTGTCGCGCAATTCCCTTAAGGCCACACTGCTTTCACTGCTCGGGGGCGGTACATGCGATATCTGTCATGTAGACAGTGGGCAGACTGAAGAGCCACAGATCTGCAAAGACGCTACCCATCTGAAGGACTTTTTGGGCAGCCGCAACAAATGGTACCATCGTCCTGCCTAAAGCTCGGAAGTGCACGGATCCGTGGCACCCATGCAAAACGTTCTGAACCCTATAAACGGCCCTAAGCCCCAGAAACCCATGGGTGCACTACACGGTGCACCTGCTGTGCTGTGGCGAGCAACAGTCGACCGGCAGAAGGCAGCGGAGGACCCCGCGGCCTCCATGGCTTGTAGTGGTTGGCAGTGATAGGGTCTATATAGGGGCCTAGGGTTTCGTTGAGTTTGTGGAGACAAGGGCGGAGGGTCCAGGGCGTCTTCAGTCCAGGGGCTCTTGCCTGGGATGCATGCTGGAACCGGCCCGCCTTGCAATGGGATCCAAGACTGGTCGCCGATGTCCTGAAAACATGCGGTATCCGATATCCGGCAGGTTTCAAGGAGAGAGGCAGTGGTTGGCATTCTCTGCGAAGCTGAGGCTGGAGTGCAGCGCGGAAATTCCCCCCAAACCCTTAAACCCTCGCTTCAACCCTGAACACAGGCTCGTGCCGCATGGGGTTGGGGGGTGGAGGGAGTGAAAGATGAAGTGAGGCTTGGGATCTTGGCATGATAAGGCAGTGGTTTACAGTAATGTTTCGATTCAATTCTTGCAATTAACTGTTCAACATGTCGAAGGGGCAGCAATCCGAACCCCTCACCCAAACCCCGAACCCTTTCCGCCCTTCCCTGGCCGATTCCTCTCCAAACAGGAAAAGAAGGGGATGTGCCCTCCTCGCTTTGAACCCCCCTCAAGCCTTGTGGAATTAGAGCCTATGTAATGTGAAGGGGCACCGCGTGTCGCTCCATTGAAACGGGAGTGTCCAGCACTACCAAGGGGACAGGGAGGCGAGGGGGATCTGTGAATGCTGCCACATATAAACCAACACAAACCCCATCACAAACCCAACCTGTGAAACCCAAAACAGCCTACAGCCCGACAGAGCCAAGACACCCTAAACCTTACAGGCCAAGCGGTTGACGGCGACTGGAACGGTTGATGCAGCAATGGCATCTTCGATTTGGCCACGACCGAAAGACTCCAACTCTGCAATCGGGTGCACCAAACCAAGAAACAGCACGCAAAAGGGATACAGAGTCGGACAGCTAGCCATGCCTTAGGATCCCTGAAGATGTGGATGTTTATCTCAAGCTGAAACCCCAAAAAAGCAAAAAAACAAAAAAAACAAAAAAAGCACCCGTCATCTCTAGAAAGAACCCCGGCCCCGCACCCTGAAGGCCCGAAGCCAAAACCCGGAAGCTCCTGATGAGACGGAGCTCGAGCCGACGGAAGAGCTCGGGCTAACCGACCTTCCGAGAGCTGCCTATATCTTACTTAGGGTTTAGGGTTTAGGGTTTAGGGTTTAGGGGGGACTTTTGGTTTGGCTTTATAGGTCTTTGTAGGCTTTATATACAGAGTTTTATAGGGGGTGTAGGTTATAAGGCAAGGGTCTAGGCATCTATTGCAAGCCCGTTGTGATCAACCGGAGGCCGAATGCAAAGACCGCGAGGGCCGCGATATCAGGGATATCTCTACAACATGGCAGCCAAATCTCAAACTAAGAGACTGAGAGAGAACTACTCGGAGTATTCAATGGGAGGCCTGCCTCTCGTGCGTTGATTTGCCGTGGGTCCAGTAACACAAGGCAGCGTTGGCATGACGCACTCATTCGATGCATCTTGTCCTTTTCTCTGCTAGTGGTTCGCCTCATTCTTCGTCCACAACAAACATGCAAGGCCGTATGCTTGCAGGAACCCTCAGGAATCCAAAACAGTAGTTTCCAACTACACAGCTCCGGTCAGGGTCGCATGCCAGCAGCTTCTCACTGCTGCCAGCGCAGAGAAGGGTGAAATCGTGAAATGGAGCGCAAACGATGTTGACATAAGCGCTTGATGGACCAGCGCCCGCCACCTTAAGACCGGACTGGCCAGTCTGAAATGGCTGTCAGTATGGCTCGAAACTGGGGTCCCGGTTGCCTTCACTTGTCAGATGTGCAGTGGTCTACTTCAGCTTGCAAGGGTTAGACCGGGGGCCCGTGCAGTTCAATCTAATGAGGGGAAGTTGGCCGGGAGGAACAACGGTCCCTGGCACAACGCTTTGGATAACCAGTCGCCAACTGGAAGGTGCCCGAGCCTGCAAGCAACTCGCTGAGGCTCTCAAGGTCTTTACTGACAGTCGGCAATCCTCAGGCATGCCACCGACGAAGATACGGTGCTACCCGGGTATCATCATGGAGCACCTTCTACGGCCTGCTACCCGTCGAACCTGCAACTCCTGACTTGTTATGAGGAAAGTTTGCAATACAGGGCAAGGGAGGGGCTCGTATGGGTCATTGTCAATTCTCGTCTCCGATTCCAGTATGCAGGTCCTGTGGTTGTCTTGTGTTGTCATGTGCACGAGGATGTCAACATAAACCAGGCGCAACTTCAGCTGAAAGGCTACGGCTTCTTGCCTCAGATGTTGCAGCTAGTCTCGGGCGAAAGTCAAAAGAGGACGTTGGCGACATCCAACGATTTCCGTCATAAATTCCCTGCATGCGGGAGGTAATTAGCTCTGCACGAGGTTCGAATCAAGCCCGGAGCTTGCGTCATGCCGCCTTTCAGGCGAGCTTGTCCCAGAGCCGAAAACCAGTAGAATGAAGCAAGACAAGGGTAAATCAGTTCTCCAGACCTGCACTATGACTGCTTCACAACTTTCGGCATGTGGCTATGCAACGAGGGCCGTGATTGGGCCGTGAGTTGTGCCCTTTGCAGTGTCCGAAGTAGCCAGGACTACTGACATTCTCTGAGTCCAACCCTGGCAAGATTAGCAATGCCTTGAGATCGAATGTATAGACTCATACCGAAATCGCTGCCATCTGCAGCACTGCATTCAGAGCGATCTGCGGCCCAAACCGAATCTTATAGGTCTCTCCAGGCAGGGCGACTTGCGCACCAGAGCTGCTGAAGTTCTACTTCTTTTTTGAAGCCGTATCCTGCGGCCCGAGCGTGTGACGGGAAGGAGCATTCCCTCACAACAACTCAGACGCAAGCTGCGAATTGCTAAAGTTTCGATAGCTTGCAGGTCTGTCTGCATGTCTATCCTTGCAAATCTCAGATCTCACCAGCGCGCCGTGAATTGAGGCAACATGTTTCCAAGGCATAACCACGTGCCTAACTTGCCGCAGATGTCTTCCCGTGCATGCCAGGAGTTTCATCGTTTCATGGTGCGGCCGATGTCGTGTGCACCAGCCTGCCCACCACAGGTGTTCCCCGATGTCCGGAAAGATGCTTGTTATTTCGTATAGGCCATGAACTAGTCCCAGTTGGTGATGGCAGGGTCTTCTTGCACAGAATCCTCCAAGTGTTCTTTTACGGAGCATACCAAGACTGCATCCATCTGCATCCCAACGAACCACAGGGGGGGGGCCCTACATAAGCCGAAAGACTGCATTCCTAAATCCGGCACAGTACCGTACGAGTAGGAGATAACCGAACATCGCCATACGAGGGCCTCCTAATTCCAAAACTCTATATGTAGACACTAATGCATATATATATATATATATATATATATTTGTTTATACATATTATATATACATATGTATACATGTACATATACATATGTATATATATATATATATCTTGAAATATCTATGTATATAATTGTATATAGGTATTCTTGATGCTTCTGGCTTCCACCATGAAAGCTGGCTTTGTGCCAAACAGATTGGGAGACAAGAAGGGAACTGTCGCTCCATCACGTTTTGGAGGTTACAAAGACTTCGGGAACCAGGGATTCATCACCTGGATGAGCTGGCTACTCGGCACTAGCATTAGCAGCTCTGACACTGATTTCGAACCGGAGTAAAGGCGAAGTGAGCCACTTCTTCGCCGGTTCTCCTCTGTCATGATAAAACAAGGAGGCGATCTTCAGCACACAAATTGATATGCAAAAGCCGTTGGTAATTTGTCGAGCTCCAGGATCGGACGCATGCACTTGATGCACGCAAGTTGACATCCTGTTTGGCCACGAAAGGCTTAGGATGTCAAGTCGGTCCACCGGATCATTGGGACATATTGAACCGTAAGCCGGTAAGTGCTGTTGCTGGTGACGGGAGATCCTGTGGACCATAGACATAAACTGGCAGGTCCGAGCAGAAATCACACTTGCAAGCCTCCACGTCCGTCTATTTTCATTTCCATGCATGTAACTACTATTTACTTAGTTGACTTTAAACGTTACCACTTTGCCTTATGCTTGCGGGCCTTGGTCCCCACTCACCTCCGGTCGAAGCCCAAAGCATCACAATCCAAATTCCGACACCGCTGAACTTCAAGCCCGCGTTGCAATTCAAGAGCTGCGGCTCCCATGGCTGCATGTCTGGAAACGCATGTACTAAGTTATTTCCACACATATATATATATATATTTATTTATTTATTTAGTTACATAAGAATATTGTCTATATGCACACATACACCCACATACCTAGACATCACACACATACGTACATATACATGTACATATACATGTACGTGCGCAAACCGCCTAGTGTAGACGCTAAATTCTGCAAGGACGTGAAGGATGCAACATGTGTCGAACCTTGAGCGAGCCAAGCTAGATCCGACCCGACCGTGCCCTCCGGATCAACAGGATCTTGTTCGATCATATGAGATCCAGAGCTCAAACGTTTGGAACGAATACACACACACACACGGCACTCAGTGGAGTGCTGAGACCACGGGTCATAGCCTCATCCACATCTCTGGTTGTCCTCCCAAGAGGCAAGAGACATTTTTTAGCGGGCACCCAAAGTGTTCCAAGCCTCCAACAATTGGTCTGCGCACTCTGGTGTGAACAAACTACCCTCTTGCCCTAATTCGGCCGGAGTCAAATCAGAGATTCTGAGATGCTGCTTCTCCCTGGGATCACTATACTATACGCTCCCCAAAACCCTCAAGCAACCGGAAGTGCAAAGCAAGAACTTTCCCCCTGCCCCTGTCGTCCTCGGAAATGGACGGATACGCCCGCCACTTGCTTTCCCGCAGCCGCAGCCACGGACACTCCGCAACCGGTGGGAAAGGCAAGAACACCTCGTGCGGCTCTGTGTAGTGAAGTGCTTGGACAACAACTGTCGGCGGTGTTGTTGCGCAGAACTGATCCGCAAGACTACTCCGTCCCACAACTCGTTTGTCGCCCTTCCGACAAGCCCTCCGGTCCGCCCCTTGCATTCGTGCGATGGAGGAGGCCGTGTGTGGTTTGACAGGGTTGTATAGTTTGCGCGCCTGCTGCCTTCCTTGCAGTGCTAGCAGTTGTCAGTGTCGGCACGGTCGGCATGATGGCTGCCGTGTGGTTGTTCGAAACCCCTGCTGCCAGTACGAGTACTATTGTCCCGCCATGTCTTAGCAGTCAACACTTCGCAGAGCTGGCGCGTGCTCGGAATACGTCAGGCTACGACTCATAACTTGGGAGAAATCGCTCGGCCTGGGCACTCGGACATCGAGCTCAATGGCCGTCAATGGCCGGTACCACGCAATTTTCGACATCAAGCCTCAGGGCCAGACCTTTCTAGACTTATGAAGCTTGGGCTCCATTTCCTTGTGAATCCCGGCACATGATAGTTGCAGGCAAGCTTCATTAACTCGCTACTTGTGCTTCTCGTTCTTGCACTTGTCCTGACTGCTGTTGCGAATGCTTCGAGGAGGCAGGTAAACAGCGGTGTCAAGTAGCGTAGCAAAGCAAGTGTGCGCTCACGCTGCGCATTGGCCTTTGAGATTTGTAGCATGAAATCCCAACAACCCTCGGAGTCCAACCCCACTGGACCTGCAGACCTGCTCAGGCAAGTACTTGCAATCATGGTGATTATCACCTAGATGCGTAAAAGCATGAAACAACAGCAGCTCAAGACAGGAACCACCTTGATCGTGGACACTGACTGGCCATGGATGCTGAAAGCAACAAGGTGTGTACATATTTTGCGCGACTTGTCTACCATTCAACAGCACTAGTACAGTTAAGTAGTTCATACCCGAGCTTGTGCTGGAAATAAACCAAATCCTAAAAACGCACAAAAAAGGCAACTTGCAAACACAGAAAAAACGTGACAAGAAACGTGAGTCAGGAAAGCAACTGAAAAAAAAGGCGACACCAAAGGCACCAAAAAGGCAAAGGCTTGGGGCTTGGGTCCCTGGGTGCCCTGGGATACGGCATGATGCCCAGTGGGAGGCTGGTTGCCCTCCGTCGCGCTGGCCCCTTCGGGGCCCGCCCAGACCCTGCCCTTTCGCGCCCTGCGTCCAAGCCCTTTCCGCGGCTGCCTGGAAGAGAGGGCT